GGAACGGATCTACTTCTCTATTCCTGAAATACAAGGTCTGGCTTTCAGCCACACCTGCTGACAATGACCTTGAGGGAGCAGAACTCTTACCTAAATCTGGGTGGGACCTTTGAGATAGAAACAAGAACCTTGAAGGACTGGAGGTAAGTTCCAACTCTGACCTCTGGTCAATGTGGAAATAGACTCACATTTTAAGGCCTCCTCATTCTCTCCTGCTGGAAGTTGAATTAGTTCAGTGGAGCACTAGCCTAGCACGTACAGGCTCTAGGGTCAGTGTCTAGGCCCGAAAAGCCCTCTCCCTTCTGGAATAAGAGAAGCCCTCACCAAGCAGTTTGAAAATTATTGTCCCTAAATTTTTTGTTTGTTTTGTTTTCAGGACAGGGACAGGATTTCTCTGTGTAACAGTCCTGGATGCCCTGGAAACTCGCTTTGTAGACCAGGCTGGCCTCAAACTACTGCCTGCCTCTGCCTCCCAAGTGCTGGGATTAAAGGTGTATGCCACCTCCACCCAGCTCCTGTTAGTAATAGTATGACTTTTGGATATTTTAAGTATTGTGTAACTTTGAGATTATATATATCCATGAACCAAATCTGGCCACAGATAGGTTTAGTTCATCATAGTATTTAATTTTAGGAAATAAATTTTAAGAGGGATTGGGGAAATGGTTTAGTGATAAAAACTTGACTTGTGAGTGGAAGTAATTAAATTTGGGTCCCCAGAACACACATAAATTTGTGGTGACTATGTGTTGTTGGACCCTTGAGTCCAACCATCAAGAAGGAGTCACCCCAAGAGACCATCTCTCACACCACAGTTGATATAAAAGCATGAGGATTTTATTAATTCTGCCATGACAGGGTCTTTCAGAATTCGAGGAGCCAGAAAGACCCTGAATAGCTGGTATAGGCTATTTTTAAAGGAAAAAGCCATAGAAGCAAGGGAAGTATCTGGGAGTTGTTCTTTAACTATTATGATTGGTTTACTCAAAATGGCTATTACCAATAATTGGCTGGAGAGCGGTTACCAGATCAGATGAGGTAAGGGGGAACATCTGAGGATCACTTTTCCCCTTTCCCAGGGCCTAAGTCAAAACACCAGGAACTGAGTCGACACCTAAGGGTTATCTTGCCCCTATTCAGTAACTGAGTTCTATTTGGAGAACATTCACAAGGACTCAGGGAGATGGAAAGTCCCCAACATTTCAGTATGTGCATGTGTAGTTGTTAACTGAGTCGACACCTAAGGGTTATCTTGCCCCTATTCAGTAACTGAGTTCTATTTGGAGAACATTCACAAGGACTCAGGGAAATGATGGGAAGTTCCCAACATTCAGTATGTGCATGTGTAGTTGTTAGATCCTTATTTTATTTTATTTATTTTTATTTTGTGTGCATTGGTGTCAGTATGAGGGTGTCAGATCCTCTGGAACAGGAGTTACAGACAGTTGTGAGCTACTATGTGGGTGATGAGAATTGAACCCAGGTCTTCTGGAAGAACAGCAAGTGCTCTTAACCACTGAGCCATCTCTTTAGCCCCTGATAGAACTTTTTGTGATGATGGAAATATTCACCTACCTTGTCAATACAGTAATTACATACACACAAAATATAGTAGTCACCAAATATATCATAATTACAAAAATACACCAGTTGAAAAGTACAGTAGTCATAACCCACATTTGGCCATTGGACATTTGCAACTTCCATTTCTTTCCTCCCATGTGGATTTTGGGGGTCAAACTCAGGTCATCAGGCTTGGCCACCCTGGGTTTTTCTTGTAGTTAGTACCTTCGGAAAGATAATTTGAGATTATACAGGTCTGTCTCCTTTCGGGATTTCACCCACTAGTATTTTACTTATTTATTGAGACAGGGTCTCACTGTGTTGCCCGGGCTAGTCTTGAACTCTTGGGAATTCTCTTACCCCAGCCACAGTGCAGGGTGAGACAGACTTTCTGATGTGTCCTTTGAATTTTAACTTTTCTTTCTTCTAGAAAGCAGAGAAATATTAACTTGAAACCCTCCATCAATTATTTTTAGACAGGGTCTCAATTTAAAAAGAAATCAAGAGCCGGGCGATGGTGGCGCAAGCCTTTAATCCCAGCACTCGGGAGGCAGAGGCAGGTGGATCTCTGTGAGTTCGAGACCAGCCTGGTCTACAGAGCTAGTTCCAGGACAGGCTCCAAAGCCACAGAGAAACCCTGTCTCGAAAAACCAAAAAAAAAAACCAAAAAAAAAAAAAAAAAAAGGAAATCAAGATTTTTTTTTTACCATTTTATTTCATATTTGCTTTCTATGGGAAGAACAGGGACAAGGTCTCATTGCATAACTCTGGATGGCTTGGATCCTGATGTGTAAACCAGACTGGCCTTAAGCTCATAGAGAGATCTGTCTGCCTCTGCCTCCCAGGTATTGAGATTAAAGGTGTGTGCCACATGTCAGGCTAATATTTGCTCTTAACATACATATTGAACATTATAGACACAGCCAGTGACGTGGGTTAAGGCACCTGCTGTCAATCCCCATAGTCTGAGTCTGCTCTGTGAGACTCACCTAGGGAAGAGCCAGAACGAACTCCTGTAAGCTGCCTCCTGATAATCACATGCAGAATGTGATTTACAAAGTCCTGTGGGGTTTTTCCTTTCTGCCTTGGAAAGCTATTATGACTTCAGTGTATATCCTTTCTTTTTATTTTTTAAAATTACATTTAAAATGTATATTTTGTGGTAATGGTACAGTCATGCTACAGTACATATAAGGAAGTCAGCGCACACACGAGCCACAGTACACGTAAGGGTGAGGAAGTCAGCACACACACAAGCCACAGTACACGTGAGGGTGAGGAAGTCAGCGCACACACAAGCCACAGTACATGGTGAGGGTGAGGAAGTCAGTGCACACACGAGCCGCAGTACACGTGAGGAAGTCATTGCACACACGAGCCACAGTACACGTGAGGAACTCAGTGCACACACGAGCCGCAGTACACGTGAGGAAGTCAGTGCACACACAAGCTGCAGTACACGTGAGGAAGTCAGTGCTCAACTTGAAGGACTTGATTCTTCCATCGTATGGATATTGGGGATTAAAGTCACCAGGTTTGGTGGGCAAGAGCACTTATGTTTCATAAAACTTTTATGTTTAAACTCCTACATATGCATAAATAATACATAATATTGGGTTAATTCAAGATAGAGTAAATGTTTTCATTTTCTATTGATTATTTGGCAAATTTCTGCTATAACCTTACATGTTAGAGGTTTAGCTATGGTGACATATATAGGTGCAGTTTATATGTCATTGCTACTGTGCGATGGTTCCATTGCTCCACAGTTAATTCTTCTTCCTGATGCAGTGAGGATTTTCTCAGTGGTGTTTTGTATGCGTCTCCAGGATGCAGACCTCTAATTGTGTTAGTAGGTCTCAGGCAGAGAATGCACACACTCTTAATACCTTTTAAAAAACACTCGTAATTTTTTTTTCTAGTTTAAGAAAAGAGGGCTAGAGAGATGGCTCAGCAATTAAGAGCATTGCCTGCTCTTCCAAAGGTCCTGAGTTCAATTCCCAGCAACAACATGGTGGCTCACAACCATCTGTAATGGGGTCTGGTGCCCTCTTCTGGCCTGCAGGCATACACACAGACAGAATATTGTATACATAATAAATAATAATTAAAAAAAAAAGAATTGATGTCGGTGGTGGTGGCATTAGCACATATCTTTAATCCTAGCACTTGTGAGACAAAATAGGTGGATCTATGAGTTCGAGGCCAACCTGGTCTACAGAGCAAGTTCCAGGACAGCCAGGGCTACACAGTCTCGAAAAAACAAAGAACAGGAAGGAAGGAAAGAAAGAAACAACAAAATTGTAAACCTATGTGCCATGGCTTGGTTTTATAGAAGAAATTTTTATGTATAAGCTGATAGCTGTTTTTCGTCCTCGGTGTCCCTAACTGTCCTGTTCTGGCCTCTCTCCTAGCGGCAATACATCCCTGTGACAGTGAAGAGCAAAGCCTTCTGGATCTTCGCTTGGGAGTATGCCACGATGTATGTAGGAAGCCTAGTGGTAATAGTTTGCCTCTCCTTCTTCCTTCTCAGCTCCTGGGATTTCATCCCTGCAGTCTACGGTTTCATGTAAGTACAGACTTCACGAGAGATTTCTGGAAGCTAATTTGGTTTTTGTAGCTCCCAATGGAACCCCAGGGAGAAGACTACATAGGTAGTCGACAGCAGGGGTCCTCATGTTTTAAGAGGCCTCAGAGCTTCTGACATCCAGATTACCAACCCATCCCTGGGGCTCTGATGAAGAAGCTGTGAGACAGAGAGCAAGAGTTTCATTTCTCAAGTACTCCTGGTACTAGGGTAATACAGGGAACAAAGTTTGAGACCTCTGCTCTTCAGCACCTTTCGATAGCTATTAAAGAGCACTTCCAAGGCTCATAGATGGCTCAGTGAGTAAAGGTACCTGCTGCCAGGCCTTACGACCTGACTTTAATCCATAGAACCCACATGGTGGAGGGAGAGAATAGATTCCCACATGTATTTGTTAGGGAACACTGTGCCTCTCCTGCCCTTTTCCTCATTCATTGCCTTTTTAAAATTATGAATTGGAGACAGGTGTGGTGGCCTATGCCTTCAATTCCAGTACTTGGGAAGCACAGACAAGACATATCTGTGAGTTCAAGTCCAGCCTGGTCTACATAGTATGACCCTGTCTCAAACACACACACACACACACACACACACACACACACACACAAAAATGAAACAAACAAAAAATTCCAATAAAAGCTGGGTAGTAGTGGTGCTTGTGTTTAATCCCGGCACTCAGGAGGCAGTGGCAGGCCTGGTCTACAGAATGAGTTCCATTACAGGCTCCAAAGCTGCACAGAGAAACCCTGCCTTGAAAAACCAAAACTAAAAGCTGGGCGATGGTAGCGCATGCCTTTAATCCCAGCACTCGGGAGACAGAGACAGGGGAATCTCCGTGACTTCGAAGCCAGCTTGGTCTACAAGAGCTAGTTAGTTCCAGAACAGGCCCCAAAGCTACAGAGAAACCCTGTTTTTGAAGAACCGAAAGAAAGAAAGAAAGAAAGAAAGAAAGAAAGAAAGAAAGGAAGGAAGAAAGAAAGAAAAAACCAAAACTAAAATCAAACCAAACCAAACAAACATAAAAAACCCAATAAAGTAGAGATAATAAATTATAAAAAAATCAGTTTCAGCATTGGTTTTTTTTTTTTTTTTTTTTTTTTTTTTTTTTTTTTTTTTTTAGTTTTAGTGCTCTTGTCACTACCCAGCCTAGTGCCCCTTGCTGTCTTTGTCCTTTGAAACTTTGAAAGACACATGCGCACACACACACACACACACACACACAGCACAGGGTGTAGCCCAGTCATAGAGTGCCTTAGAGCACAGGGTGTAGCCCAGTCATAGAGTGCCTTTTTAGCAGTCTGGAACTCCTGAGTTCCATCCCTAGCACTGGAGAACAAAAAACCACAAATGCTTGGTTTTTTGCCTCGTGTGTGTGTGTGTGTGTGTGTGTGTGTGTGTGTGTATGTGTGTGTGTGTACATAGGTAGCATGGACTTTAGAAAGAGCCAGTATTGCCGCCAATTCTTAAATGATTTAACTAGACAAAAGTTTCCTAGATAAACTGAAAATTTTCAAGTGAGTTCTGTAGCCCTGGGAATTTTTCACCACCTGCTGAAGGCTCCTGAAGCCCTTGGAAAACTCAGGTGCAGGCTTAGGCAGGCAGTTTTCTGGCTCCTGCTGTGAGGCTGTGGAGCAAGAATTGGGAGGAGCAGGCTCTGAGAGCTTGTTCCTCTGGGCAAGTCTTTGGAATGCCCAAAATAGATTTTGTTTATTTAAGTCTCCCCTCTTGTAATACTGAATTGCTCCTGATTGTGAACTGGCCTGATGTAGAAAAGGACTGCTCTCTTGATTTCTAGGATGGATCGCTTTTTCATTTCAGATTCTTTTAGCTTAGCTGGTTTTTGGTTGTTTTGCTTGTTTTTGGTTTTGTTTTGTTCCTTCATGTAGCCTGTTCTAACCTTGAGCTCAATATTCAACCAAGAATGATTTTAAGCTTTTCATCCTCTTACTTTTACATTTGGACTTAATGCAGTCCTAAGGGTCAAACCCAAGGACTTGAGCACCCTACCAACTCAGCTGTGTCCCCAGTCCTTAGCTAGTGTGTAATATGGCTTCTATTCTTTGCATCTTTGGCCCTGTATTTTGTAAATTATCTGTATGGGGTATTGCACACTACTATGACATTTAGAAGGATGATGCCATCCATGGTCACCTAATAGTGACCCCAAAGTCTTCGAAACAGCAGGGCAAAGCCAGCCACATGTAACTCTGCTCTTTTCTCTCCCTGTGTTTTCTTATTTCAGACTCTCTGTTCCGGATCTCACCCCAAACATTGGTCTCTTCTGGTACTTCTTTGCAGAGATGTTTGAGCACTTCAGCCTCTTCTTTGTCTGCGTGTTTCAGATCAACGTCTTCTTCTACACCGTCCCGTTGGCCATCAAATTAAAGTAAAGTTCATGTGACCTGAGCTATCCTTCAGACTTGTGCCACCTGCCATCAGGCTTTTGGCTTTTTTGATCATGTGCCAGTAGCCAGGGTCAGCAGTTGAGAGTCACACACAAGTACAGATTGCAGGGAGGATGCTTGGGAGGCCTGGTTCCCCTGGTCTCACCTAGAGATGTCTGCAGCCACATTACTATTTAGTCTGATCACCGTTCCAGGGGAGAGCAGAGGTTACACTGAGGATGTCTCTGGGAAAAGTGAGTCTGGTTGCTGTGCTCTCAGAGGGCCACCATAGAATGAGCCCAGCCCCCCCCCCCCCCCCCCCCCCCCCCC